AGAGCGTCGGTGAAATGACGAAGACGTGCCTCGAAAGAGGAGATAGACGCTGTGTCGAGCCGTGGAATCGGATACGCCTCTTCCTCGACTGATACACCGGATTTGACAAGATCGTGACAACAAACGTGTTGCGTTTTGATTTCGCCCCCGTAACTTGTTTGGGAATCTCTTCGGAGTGAGATTCGCACAAATTTTACTCGGCGCTTCTCGCTTCGAATAGCTTTGAGCGATATCGCGTTCTCTTGTGTAAAGCCTGTAACTATTCGTACAAAGGAGATCTCTGGGAATTTCAAACATTCATAATTCAGCGCTGTATAATCGGCCGCGTTGCTCCCAGCGATAGCCAATTAATGATAAATGACCTCTTGTCTGTCCTCGAATATGGCGTTCGTTAATAGGCGGACTATTTACAATTTGCAAGTGAAATCAGTCGGTCTTTCGTCTTCGTTGCACGGACCGCGCACGAGTGCAGAATTTACAATACATCGCGTCGTTCGAGAGCCGCGATACGTGACATGCGTCAATGTTGATTCCTCGTCTATCGTAATAAGCGACATTTCGCGGTCACATGCCGCGGCTGCATTGCATGATCGCGTCCTGTTGACCGCTTCCCGTTACCCAATCTCTTAACCTTGCACTTCAATCGCGGCCCCGACACTTCCTATTACCGTCCACGATATCGGTACGGATAGGCAGCGACGCGCAAAATCGCCGTTTCATTACGGCTTTATTACTCCGTCGAATTACATCGAGACTTTACGAGGCGAACTTTACATCGTGTCTGCAACGGCAATCTGCGGTAACTTTACGAGCGGTGTTCATCGGAAAGGACACTGTCCCTGACATCTTCCCGCTGCCGAGAACATTTGAGAACATTTCGTTTCTTATTTCTCTCTTTAAACGTTATTTTTAAAATCTCGAAAAAGCTATTTAATGCCTGATTTTCTCATCTCTTTCTCTCTTTTTTTTTTCTTAGTCTCTTTACTTTATTATTTAATATAGTTATCTACAGAGGATAATATCTAATTTTCTGTCGCTTTATAAATAGTATTGTCTGCAAGGTTGACAGGGAGCTAAAATTAATCAATCTAGGTAGAAACCAGAAATTTATCATGAGACCGATATGGAGTATTAGAAAAATTTAATAAATATTACAGGATTTTAACGATCATGTCCATTTAGCTAATTAATTTATTACATTTAAAAATTTTATGATTCTATTATTATATAGCATCGAATTTTATATTACATCAATTTTTGAAAAAGTCTCGTACTGATTTGGATATATATTTTTACATTTATTTTATTAAGTTATTAAATTATTTTCATTGTTAAGTTATAAATAATGAAAAGTCAGAAATTAAATAATTCCATTTAAGCGTCATCAATTATGTTATATAATATTCATTACTTTATGTCATTTTAATATTGTGTCTTTTTTTATCGCATCGTCGCTTTATGTTGCACGCCGAGGTGATTAAAGCATGTCTGTGTGCATGTCTGCGTGCGGGAGGAAGAATAGATTCATGAATATCTCATTGACATTTTCGCACACATTTTCTAACAGATTGCTCAATACGGCAAGATTATATCATCGATGTGAATTCTAAAGAGCTTGACGGTACCTTCTAACGCTCAAAATCGGACTCGTTAATGCGTATCCTTAAAAGCGATGCCACACATCCTAACAATGTATTTTTTATATCGTTATCGTGTTATCATTATCGTTTTCCACGGTGCAACCGCTATGTGACGGGTTTAGTCGCGTTCACATTATCGCGATCAATTATTATCGTTTAATAAGTCATTACGCAAATTGAGTTTGTGTGTAAGCAGTTCGATATAATAATTGTGACAGCGGTTTTAATGACTCTTTAATAGTTGTTACTATAATTTCATATTCGAAATAAAGATAGTGTAGTAAATAAAATTCTAACCAAAGTATAAATTTTGCGATTATTTAGTTACTATAAATTCGCAAATTAACAAACATCTTTATTACGCGTTTCTATTTTATTTTTTATTTCTATGGAAGTGACAAAAAAAAAGGAAAATTTGCCATGATAAATATTTATAATTATTCTCGTGACTGAA